TGGAGTAGATGTATCAAACACTGCGTTTTGTTTCGTTTGGACAATTTTATGACTTGTATTTTCCATTGAAATATTTAGCTGTTGTCCTTTCTATTTCTTCCTATATTTCTTATAGTTCTTTAACTATAATTTACTTGTAACAAACGGGTGTCTATTTAAATACATGAGAATTACTTTTGCCAGTATTAGAACGTTGAATTAGAGATTGCATAGCGAAGTAGAGGGGCGTTCACTAACGCAGCCTTGCAAGGACGTTGCGTCTATGCAACCGGCCAGTATTCTTCAATTAATTCCACCTTTACACTGACTCACCTCTCCCTACCAGTTATTGCAGCGGTTAAAGTCCATTGCATCAAGTTTTGTACTAGTACCTAGCGACATCTAGTGACATATGCTTGATGCATATAAATATATTAGTGGTCGCTTATTAGTCGAGACTGGTCCGTAAAATCTTTCTTTTTTACTTAATGGCGTCTTTCACGTTGGCGTGTTCGTGTAATTTTTTCAATAAGGGTAACAAAATTTTCGCTTCGTATTTTTTAGAAGCTAATACGAATAATTATTTCTCTTTTCTTAGTCTAAAATTGAACGGGAAACTGTTCCCACCACTAACCAATTACACTGATATGAATTGACCATATACGATATAATTCGATAATGAAATTTATCATTTTGTTGCTAACCAAATTTTTAAATATTTTATTAGAAATAAATTCTTTTAATATTTTATTAAATACGTATCACTCTTTGTACTCAGAGATCTCATAAACTTGAGATTAGAACGGAATTAACAATAAAAACAACTATATTGCCGTACAATTTCACGGTCGACATATTTTTGAATATCTATTGTAGTCGTTGTTTATTCAAAGGGAATTAAAAGGAAGAGAGTACGTAATACAATTGCCACAGTGGAATTCCACGTTTAGAGTACATCATGAGTTAGAGGGTCAATAATCCTAAGTTAAATAAATTAATATGAATTATATATCCGTCTCATGAAATATCTAGCTTTTCGTTTCGCATATTAATACATATCCAAAAGCGTCGACAGCGTCTGTTCTATTCCTGAACGTCTTCAGACACATTTATTTCCGTCCAGACGGCCACAGGGTTGTTACCTGTCATGCCACAGAATAAAAAAAAAATATTACGACTGCCATCTAAAAATAATATCAAAATTAAGATACAATCTCTAGTAAGTCGTTATTGCATCTTAGTTATACAGGAGTTTCTTAAACAAGTTTTCCATTTGCTAAAAAGTGACATCCTGTGTAAGATTTATGTGTAATGAAAAATATAAGTTCATAAGTATATAATGAAATATTTGAACAAAAATATATAGGAGTGTGTGAACTAGGATTTGTATAAGAAAAATACACAAAAGTGGATAATGCAGTAACTATTATTTACATAAATCAAAGAATTTCTTACACATACTATTCAGAAACTACATAAGTCTAATCGGAGTTATATAAATAAAAAGATATTATAATTGTTATATTGCATTGTGATAAATTAAAAACTACAAAACTAATAAACTACATTTCTAATAATTAACTGTATTACATATACATGAAATATTTAAAACACAATTTTTGTGATATCCAAGCCTGTACTAAAGTGGTTATCTGTTCCGAAACATGAAAAATAAAGATGGACCTAAAATCTATTTGTTTATATACAAATGGTAACTTTACGTATTAAACGCGTTTAAGACGCGGGAAAACTATAATGGATTAAAACACAATAACTATTTTATCTGAGGCTTACTACTAAAGTGTTTTAATTCAAGCGATATTCTAATAGGTTATAATTATAGTGCTACAAACTTAACTGGCCCGGTACAAATTGAACTACATCTCAAACGCGCCAACCATCAATGTCACAAGATACTTGTCAGAATGCAGGTTTTGTTGGGTGTCTCATTTTCTATACCTAAGTTATTTCACTTGCTGACAGAACTAAATGTTATAGTACCTCTTTAGTACCGGGCCGGATAAGTTCTTACTTAATACGTACGTATTACGTACGTATCACGTACGTAATTTAATACTTCACATGCAAAATAACAAATTATTCAGTACAACCCGCAAACACCTTGCAACGGTGAACACAGTAAAGCGAGACAAACGTATCTTTTTACTCAACTACGTGTATATCTATCTCATTCATTTAATCGGCGACGTTCTCTAGTGATCCAGGCGTCAACGTCGCGGCAAAGCTGCCATATGTTTGATGTGCGTGATCAAATTAAATGCTTAAATCTAGAATAAATATAGTTATCCCAGTTAGCAAATTAACGAAGCAAATTACCGTATCTTTCTGAGCCCAATATCTCCTTTTAAAACATTTGTTATCTCTTTTGTCTCAAATGACAGGGATGACGATATGTTTACGACAGAGATTTTGGACTTAGAAACCAACGGTAAATAAAGTATTTTATATAAAACAAAATTGAATTCGTGTCCTGAATCCTATCTTCTAATATTTACGTATATAAAATGCGTCTTAGCACATTAACATAGGTTAGAAAATAAATTAACCTTTTTATTCTTAACATAGTGTTTATAACATCAAATAAATCATCTTTAAAATCCACAATACACTTTTTTTTTAATAAAATCAAATATCTACGTGCAGAATATTAATAACATATCCAAATTTAATATTCTTTATTATTTCATTAAATAAATATTGTAAGTATATTGATAATGTACCACATTAAATCGACCTTCACTTTATTTCAGAAAAAAAGATACGCTTTTTTTTTAATTAACAAGAATAGTAGTAATTTATTTTTTCATAAAGTATTGTAACTAACACATTGTGCCAGTGATATTGGATGTCATTTTTTTTTTAAATACAGACACAAAATGTCTCCACAAAGTTCTCCCGCCCTGTTGTCAATACGTTATCTAATAAACGTTCTAAATTTAAACATACTAATTAATTTTATAGTATACTTGATATTTTAATTTTTTTTTAATTATCCAATAACAACATTTCTATCCAATGTATACCTAATTCTAATTTTTTTATAAATATCAACATTTAATCGTTTTTGTTACGTTAATACATTGGAAGAACACTATAAAAGCATTTAAGGCAATTTAAATGTTCGTTTTATTTTACGCAAAGTTTTTTTTTTGTGAGTTCCAACTACAAAAACATGTGCACCAAAATATATATAGTTGTCTCCATTTTTCTAAGGAAAATGAAAGAGATGCATATATATTTTGATACACATTCCAGTAATGACACGTTACAACTTTTTAACAACAGCTGGCAAAACTACCATACTACGGATAACAATTTAAAACGACTACTACTTACAATACAATAGAATTGAATTTCCATTTTTTTTATATAAACAATAAAAATTTTCAATTCATTCATTCCAGTAATTCCAATAAAAAATTTCTATTTTTCAAACAGTATAAAAACATATAGTTTCTCTGACTGGGTTTCTGAGATCAAAATCAAAAAGTGTTTTAAACGATGATTATGGTCTCAGAAACCCACGATTATTCAAAGAAATAAGAGACAAAAATATGTCTTTATACAAATAGTTAAACAGTGAAAATCTACGGAAAATTATATTAATTATGAATTTGGAACAAACTATAAGTACATTACTATTTATAAGTTACATTTTGTTTGCATTACTGTTTCCACTAGTATCACTTCTCTCTATTTTATGAGAGAGAGTGAAAGGGATAACTACATGTTTCATACAAATTATTATAGTGGATTTCTGAGGTTAATTTAAACAGTACAACAGTGTGGAGAGATTGTTTAATTGTGACATTTGGGGCTTTGTCTGTACTCTCAATTTACTATTACCTATAAAAATATCCAATTCTACCAAAATAATAAAATTAGTCTTTTTTTTTAATTTTCCAGAAAGTAGTTTATAATATTTGCTATTATATAAACCTGTATACTTTAAAAATTGTATCACGTTTTTTAATTAAAAAAATTGATATTAAAATAGTGAATTATTGTTCTTAGACGGTGTTAATTTAATATTAAAAATACTTAATACTTAAAATTACATTATAGACAATTAAAAAAAAACTTAATTAAAAGCTAAAAGCGAGGCAAAAAAACATTGCAAGATTCAACCAAGTCCGTACGCAGGCATTGACGATAAAAATTAACAGAGTCAAAATATTCACATTTTTAATTACTTAAATAATTAAATACTTATTTTAATTTTACTATGAGTAATTACTATATTAAGAGATTACATCAATTCAATGGATTTAGTACATATTTGTATGTAAATATTTTGATGTCATATGATTTTAGTTCAAATGTAGGTGTCCCCGTGATGACACGTGACGCATATAGCCATCTCTTACATTCCCTTTGAGGAAAAAGAGATAGCAATATAAGTCCATATAAGCAATTGCAGAGTAATTTATCGGTAACTTTATTCTATACTAACAAAGTCACACAAACATTTAGAATAATCGTTCTTAAAGCGACTTATAAATATAATATTACCAACAAACAAGCCATTTATTTTTAACAATTTTATAGCCTGAACAGAAATATTAAAAACTCAATTTTATAACGATTATTTACAGTTCTCATTCATTTTAAAAACGTCAATAGCCTAATGGTTAAGGGTACGGATTTCCGATCACGAGGTCGGGGGTTCGAATCCCACGATTCGACTATTATCGTAAACCACGTAGCACAAGCATAGAGTTTAGTTGGAATGGTTCAAGAAATATTAGTTAATTACCAAAAATTTTACTTCTAATATTTTACTAAACAAAATATTTAAATCGGCTAGTACTTTATTTTTATTTGTCACTAGCTGTCGCCCGCGACTTCATCTACGTGGGATTAAAACAAAAAAAAATATTAGCCTATGTCTTGCAGAATATGTTTTACACGTGTGCCAAAATTCATCAAAATCTGTTAAGCCGTCCTATAGATACCTTATAACATCCATCCATCCATCCAAACATCCTCAGTTCATAAAATCACCAATTTTTTTTGTATTTAATATTTCCATTCAGGCTATAAACAATTTATAAAATGTTACAGCATCGTTGTATACACATCGACTTACAATTGCATCAAACAATTAGTCAACAAACCTTAAATCATAAAGAAATTTAGACCCGCGTGTTTAAATGCTAAGACTTTAGTTTTTTTTTCATTTTAATAATTGTATAGATGTTAGACATCGAATTAAAGTAATTTTAAGTACTAAAATAAAAACAATCCTTTCTTAAAAATTGCATAGTGTCGTCACAGTTTTAAATGTGATTTTTGGTTCAAGTAGTGGTTTTATATTTAATTGGGAGATATACGTAAAATTAGTTTAATCTAATGAAGTTATTCTTATATTTTAAATAGCAATGCACTTATACGTGCCGTCTGCCAGAGCGCGCCGAGCCCGGGACATGTTGCAACGTGATTCTCCTTCCGTACTGGAAACAAAACATTAATAATAGTTTTAACAACAGTGGCAATTAAATAATGAGCTAATTTCGCTAAAATAGCGAAGCAACTTCTCCCTATAGTCATCGCGAAAAAATTGTTGCGTTGCTTACTGGAAATGGACAAAAGAGGGGACGTACAGAAAGAGGATATTCCCTTTACGTCCCTTCCCCTGCCAATTCTAATTCCCTTTCCCAACCACTCCCAATAAGTAAAAGGTCAAAAAAAAGGGGATTAGAATTTGGCTTCGAAGCAATTACAATTGTCAATCGAAACATGATAAAATTTCCATCTGACATAGTCTTAAATTTTAATTTTAGTCCAATTTATTATTATTTTACTGTCACTTAGGTTTTTCAGTATAAGATTTTAAAATTCTATGTAATATAGTAATAAAAGTATAGTAGTAAAATTGTCTATGCTCTGCAAACTCAGCTCTTAAAAGGCTATGGTCACCACGCTAGGGTTGAAATAGAAAACGATATAGCGTCGTACAATAAAATAACATCCACCTGATGCCTGTGTATATGTATGTGTGTGTGTGTGCGCGTGTGTGTGCGTGTTACCTGGAGTCTTGGGCGGAAGGTCAGGCGAGGTAGGCGCGGACGAGAGCGCGCACGGCGCCGCGGCACAGCGGGCAGGCCGACAGCGCAGCGCCGCATCCCGCACACGACACCAGGTGTCCGCACGGCAGGAACACCACGCTCACCTGCACGTATATACATAAATAACTATATATTCAGAAACAAGGCAAAAACTCCCCCTTCATCCGGCTCGAAGGACCAAACATTTACTATAACATAAGGTGGCAAACGACCGCTGCCCTCAAACATCTATTGCATATGCATTACCTCCATATAATCGACGGAGGAGCGGATATATAGCAAGAAAATATTTTTCTAGCCCATCTATCACCTCCTCCGTCAAATCAACTTCCTCTTCCCATGGGCTGATGGGCTCAATATACTATTTCTCCTATTGGATTGAAACTTAAAACACATTTTAAATCGTAACATTTTCGTCAAAGAAAAATAATCAAAATTTCCATTCTTGGAGCCTCTTAGCAGCTTAGTATCCATAAAAATTACTTTATTTTGAGGCTCTCGAAACTAATATTAAAATAATTATACAAAAACAACAACTACCTCACTATCCATACAGACTTTGCAGAGCCTGGCTTCTTTTAGCTGCCTGTTCTCTTCCTCTAGAGTCAATTCCTTCTTCTGCGGAGCGGGACTTGGTGCTCTCTTTTTATCACCACTATTTTTCCGATCTTTGCTGGAGCTGTAAGAGCGTGCGTGAGTTCTATCACCTCTGGTCTGTATCAGGGATCCTCTAGACGGTGTTATGTCTCTCCTTCTAGGAGGAGCTAGATTTCTAACCGCTGGTGTTGAAGATGCAGAACTGTCAGATTCAGATCGACTCTCTGATTCGTCTACTGGTCGCGGCGGTGCCATGAGTCTGTAATTATTATTTTAATGTAAAAACAACTGATTCTTTTTATTTATTAAACCACAAATCATACTTAATACTAATCTTAATAATATTATAAAAGCGAATGTTTAGTTGGATGGATGTTTGTTTGAAGGTATCTCCGGAACGGTTGAACGGATTTTGATAAAATTTGGCATACATATAAAACATATTCTGGTAGAACACATAGGCTACTAAGTTTTTTTTTAATTATACGCGGACAGAGTCGCGGGCAACAGCTAGTATTTAATACAAATAACTGACATAAACTTTGTACTGAAGAACTTTTGAATATTACCTAAATGTTTTTTTTTAATCAATCTTATTATCTTACCAATATTATAAATGTAAAAGTTTAGATGGATGGATGTTGCATGACAAGGTAGCTCCGGAACAGTTCAACGGAATTTGATGAAATTTGGCACATATGTAAAATATAGTCTGGAAGAATACATATGCTACTTTTTTAGTTTTTTCTTTAAATAATGAAGTAAGGAAAAAAATCATACCTAGTGCCAGAGGCAGGCACGAAATCGCTCAATGTCTCAGCCAGGATATCCCTCGCCAGGCGCTGGCTCTGCGGCGCCACACTCCACGACTCTTCGTTCAGCTGCTCATCCAGCACTGCGTCTATCAGAGCCTCCGATGAACTGAACGGCAGACCTGCACATAAACAAAGTTTTTTTTTACTCAGAACTGTTGTGTATTACTCGTAGAGCTTTCTAATGGCAAAAAAATTTTGAAATCCGTCCAGTAGTTTTTGAGTTTATATGTTTTATACAAAAAATAGGAAAGTACAAATCATTTCCTATTTATAAACTTAGTAATATTATAAATGCGAATGTTTGGATGTTTTTAGAATGTATCTGCAGAACGACTCAACGGATCTCGATGAAATTTGGCATAAGTGTAGAATTGTCTATAAGAACATTTAGCGGATGAAGTCGCGGCCGACAGCTAGTATTAGTATAAATATAGTAATGATAATGAAACATTTTAACAAGGTTTTCTTTGGTTTAATCGTTATTGTACAGACCAGTGGTGCGCAGTCTTCGTACGAGCGCGCGGCGCACGCGGGCCGCGTCCAGTCCCGCACCCAGCGCAGCCAGCGCTGTCCCGCTCTCCATACACGCGTCCACCTTACATCGTAATTACACGACTCATCATCATCATCATCATCATCCCACTATATGTCCTCACTGAGGGGCTCGGAGACTAACCTAAGGACTGACTAGGCATAGTCAACCACGCTGGGTCACAGCGGATTGGTTGACTTTGAATCTTTGAATTTCTTGGCAGATATGTAAAAATTGCATCATGAAATATCCTTCACCGTAAGAATCTTGTATAAATGTGTATATGTAAATCGAAAACACATGGTATTAATTTGAACACAGGACCGGCAGTTCACAAGTCAAATAACCCCTGAGCCATCGGCGGTCTTTATTACACGATTTAACTAGTATTATATTACAGAAAGAAAAAGGTTAAACTCTCACCTGACTGTCGGTGACTGAAAAATTAGAACCTGGATTACGTCGTCTTGTACTGAGACCACTGTCAGCTGACAACTGAAAATATTAACAAAGTAAAATTATAAGCAAAAAATAACTTAAGAAAAAAAATCGTATTTCATACACGTGATATATTTAGCCTATAACGAAAAACCAATTTTTAAAAATGTATGTATATCTTGGCCGTATTTGTTCATTGCAATAAAATATTATTCGCTGAATTTCTTGAATATACAAAAAAGGTGTTGCATACCTTGGGCAGCAAAAAGTATAGAAAAAGTCAATACTCACAGTGCGCTGCACGGCCATGCTGCGACATGATTCCACGAAGTCTTGACCCTTGACGAGCAACACGTAGCCGCAGTGCGGGAACCAGTGCGCGTGCTCCGTCCACGGAGCGTCACCAGCCTCCCACTTGCCCAGCCCGCCATCGCAGTAGAAACAGCGCACCTTTAAAATAAAATCTTAATTTTTAGTTTTTTTTTCATATCATAATGTGGCAAACTAGCGAGCGCCCATCTGAAATTGCTGAAATAGGGAAGCGACCATTGCCCATAAAGACATACGCAATTGGAGAAGTGTTGCCTACATTAAACAACGGAGGAGGACATGCACAGAAAGAAAATACTTTCCCGTCAACAATGCAACTTCACATCCGGAAAATATACTTCCACTTCCTATCGTTTCCTAGACTAAAATTAGGCTTCAAGGCAACGCCTGTCTTTTTTGTGGTGGTGGTAGTGCACCGGGGAACCTAACAATTCTAATATGTTAAAGCGGGCTCTACCAATATTACAGTAATGTATTATAAAATTGAAATAATCGAATACCTGATCATCCACTCCTGTATAATAAAATCCAGCCTCAGCCAATGCCTTGGGCACCTGCGCGCGGTTCGCCGGCCAGTGGTTGAATGTCTGCAGGCGAGAGGCGAGCGAAGCATAGGCGACGTGCCGCGCCCCGCCCCCCACCACGCCCAGTGACCGCCATGAACTGCCCGCGGCCACTACGCGTTCGTTCTGAGCCGCTCCAGAACTAAACACAATATCAAACTCCATTCTAAATTCTCTTAATGTGATAGGAAACCCCAACTGTCACCGTGTTAGACTTGATTACCTTTGCTTTAAGTATGCACTTATGCTATTTGGATTATAATTATATACGAGTCTGTGATGTCATCATATTATGGTTATTTACTAGATATTCAAGATAGGTAATCTTTCACCAGTATATAACAAGTCTTTTCTAACACAAATACATGTGAAGTTGTCTTTGTTTGTCATACTGAACACTATAATTAAAATGTTTGTACATATAATGTTTTTAAAACCTACTCTATAACTTATTAATTTAAAGTAGTTTGACTATAACAATTGACTCACGATTGAGGCTGATTATTATCAGTGTTGTCAGGCACGTCAGCGTCGACCCAGGACCGGGTCGGCACCATACCGTGGTTGTTGCGCTGCGCGGTCTCGAGAGATCGAGCATGCGCGCATCGGGGGAAGTACCTGTCAGGGGAAAACATAAAACCTTATCTCTACTAACGTATCAATTAAAGTTAATAATTAATGATGTAGGTACATTTATATGACACTCTTAAATAAGGCCATTGTGAAATACATATATAATAAAAGTATATATTTATGTAGCAATGCAAATTTTCGCAAAAACATTCAAAAAAAGAACGCAAGCAATTAAAAGATATAATTTTCTATAATAAAAGGAATAAAAACAATTATCACAAATGCTATATGCTAGAAGAAATAATAATGTACTAAAAAGTTCCAAAGCATCATATTTATGTATGAAAGTCAAATTGCCAGGCTAATTGGAAGTACTAAATGTATAAACCTTAGCAACTTACATCCTATGTACTTCAAGGGGCGGTCCCAATGAACCAAAGTTTCTAAATGGTGCAAGTTCACCTCCACACCAAGCACAACGAAGACGGCCCTCGCCCACATGATAGAAGCCGGCATTTACTAATGCCTCTTGAGATACTGAAGTGTCCTACAAGGAATAATTATAACTCTTAATTGATTACAAAGCTTGACTAACGTTCTGTGTACATTTTTAAATGACTCATTCCCCTAAACAAAGTAACATTCAATTGGGAATATTGGCAATCAAAAAGTCAAAAATAAGTTTGGAAATGCTTGACACATATTTATTTCTATACATTTTGACATATTTTGTTAATTCTACTTGTGAATTTTCCAATACTGTAATTGTAATTGTGGAATGTCAGCCATTCAGGAGGTGTGGATGGAACCTAGCGGTCCGTCTTGTTGTACCATGACAGAAACGGCAGCAGGAATTGTTCCAAACAATTATTAGGAACACTGTCTGTGGTAAAAGCAGTAAAAAATAAGAATGCATAGACAACATTCTACAAGGCCAAAGAATCAAGCCAATTTGTAAGATCTTGGTTGTTGACGATTCAAGACGCTATCAATTGTATGAGGCCAAATGGAAGGAGCCCTCCTCCATATTGCTTTGTGCCTTCTTAAAATAAAATTGTATTCTGTGTAGGCACTCGCACAAAGTCAAGAGCTGTAAAGATATCTAAAAACTATCATAGAAATACCAAAAACTTACGGTCCAATTAGTAAATGAAAGCAACCGAAGAATATCAGTTTTATACATATCATCCTGTTCAGTACGACCATAATCTTGAGAAGATTCATCATTATTTTGATCATTAGATGAAGATCTCGGTGGTGAATCTTCTAAGGGATCATCAAAATCTTCAGGGGAATCTTCGAAAGGCGTTATCGGGACGTTACCGGACAATCGCGGGTTTTTTGCAAATTGACAATTAGGATACATCAAACGATGTCGCGCCATTACTTGGTCTCCACAATTCCATTCTGCAAGTTTTCCACGGCAGCTAAAACATTGCACCTCAGTTCCTTGTCCCGTGTAAAAGAAACCCGCTTTCGCAATTCTTACAGGATTTATCACGGCACATGCAGGCCAGTTTGTAAAAGTATTTAATCTGTTAGTTTCAACATTCATTTTCACTATAACACAAATGGACGTATCATGAGGAAACTTAAGAGACTCTTATGAAGCAAAAAGAATAATAAATTTATTAAAATACAATTAGTAACATTGCTTTTTGTCTAGAAGAAGGTTTAAAGGTTTTTTACGTTTTAGTTTTAGAATTTTTAGATGAATCAATATTGTTGACTGACTTTGGTAATCTCAAATCTGACAGTTGACAGGAGAGGTCATGATCAAATACACACTGTAAATTCTGCGTCTAAACTCTCTGGTAATAGTACCAGAACAATGTGTAATATTGATGACTGCAGTCGAGCTCACGGTTCCTAAATATGGTCAGTGAACCGTTTATTAGATCCTCTCAATTTGCGTTTCAAGCTGCGAACGAGAGCCAGGAGCTGCCAATTTACTTATGGAGTCGCAGCTAAACGGTCCAACTCATGTTACTGTGAGCTGATTTTTTGAAACAGTTAAGAGCTAATTTACACACGTCTAGTTTTTATATGTTCTTTGATTTTCTAGTTTGATTCTTATCACAGAAAGTTTTATTCATAGTCTATGTTAATATTTTAAACGTCAAGCGCTTCAAGGTCAAACGACATCAAACGACAATCAACGTCAACTTTTAACGAGTCAAGTAAAATTAGAAACAGTACAGACTTAATTGAAATTGTTAAATTATAAATGTAATGTTTTGTTTTTATATATTCATTTTATATTTAATGTAATGTAATATTAAAAATTAAGGTTTAAAACAAAAGTAAAACATGATTTTCATTATTTTAACTTCTCTAATTTTTGTCCTGATAAGCGCTTTATTGGTAACCTTATATTTTGGATTAGATAAAAAAGTGGTTTATAGAAACTTAAGATTTAAACATGTGGTAATTACCGGGGGATCCAGTGGAATCGGGAAGGCAGTAGCTGAGGAGGCTGCTAAATTAGGAGCTCATGTGACTATTATAGGCCGAGATATTACGAAACTGGAAAGTTCCGTTAAAGATATTTCACTATGTAAATCTAATAATGATCAAAAAATTCAGTATACTGCCTTGGATATTACATCAGATTATTCGTCTATAGAAAAATGTCTATCATCTCTGGAAGTAGATATTGGTCCAATATTCATGCTTATCAACTGTGCCGGTATGTGTATTTGTGGTCAATTCGAAAGTATGAAGATCGAAGATATAAAGCAAATGATTGATCTTAATTATTTCGGCACTGCATATCCAACTAGATATGTCTTGAAAGGTATGAAAGAAAGGAATGAAGGAATTATTGTATTTGTATCTTCAGAGGCAGCATTATTGGGTAAGTTCAATTATTTATAATAGATAATATAATTTTAATTAGTTTATGCAAGCAATATTTATTTATATCTTCATTTCATGAAAGAGAATAATAAGGTTTAAAAAAAAACATTTATATTTTAATATTCCCCGTTCAACAATAATAATACAATAAATCAATTTTATTCTCATTTAAATGCTTCAAAAACATGATTTTTTTACTTCTCATTTGTTATAAATGCAATTTACTATAAAGTGGATTTGTGGTCAAGTACTGGTTTATTATATATATTATACATTTGTCAGTAGCGTTTTTCTTATACTTTATATAATTACAGGTATATATGGTTACAGTGCTTATAGTGCTGCTAAATGGGCCGTCCGAGGTCTAGCTGAGTCGGTTCTGATGGAGTTAGTTGGCACTGATGTAAGGTTGATGCTTGCATTTCCACCGGACACTGATACCCCTGGGTTTAAACAAGAAGAACTTACAAAGCCAAAAGAAACTAAGTTGATTTCAGGGTCTGGGGGACTGCAGTCTCCTCAATCAGTTGGAAAGAAAATGCTACTGGATGCTATGGTATGATAACTTATGTTAGAATTAAATTATATTTTCATAAGTTTGTCTATGGTAATAAAAAAAAGATTTATATTTTTGTATGTTATGAGTAAACTCAAAAACTACAAGGTCATTTCCAAGATTCTTCTGCTATTTGTAAGCTACATAATTATTGAGTAACATAACCTAATATTCTTAGTATATTTGAAAAAAATTTGCATGAACTAATTCAAAGGTAAAATCTAATCTTATATCTTTAAATGAGCAATTCTTGTGTATATATAATTGGAATCTCAGAATCGGCTCCAACGATTTTCATAAAATTTAGTATATAGGGGGTTTTGGAGGCGATAAATCGATCTAGCTAGGAATAATTTTTAGTAAATGTCATTTTATTCGTGTTTTATCGATAACCAACTTAAACATTTAAGTTTATGTTTTTTTCTATCGGTAAGATCGAAAAATATTATTCATATTTCATCATTTTATTAGTAATTCGTACTTAAATATAATTTCCAAAAAACAATTAAAAAAAAAAAAATAACGAGCAAAGCTCGGTCATCCAGATTTTAATTAATAAACTCAAAAACTACTAAACTGTTTTCAAAATTCTTTCACAATAGAACGCCAAATTTTCACATTGTACATTTTTTTTTCAGAATGGAAAAACATATTCAGTATTTGGTATGAGTGGACAATTATTGGCCACACTATATTGTAGTTCAATAGACAGTTTTGGACAAGTGTTTATGCAGATATTAACATCAGGTTTCTTGAGGGCTATAACTGTGCCAATAATAATATCATTCCATAAAATAGTCAGAGATGGCCTGAAAGACCGAATGAAGAGTGACAAGAAGACTGTAAAATAAATATTTATTTTTATGCATTTATGTTGGTTATAAGTAATGAATAAAATATGGGTTTTTCTTAAATTTAAATGTTATTTTATTATTTACCAATAACACTAAAATTGTAATTAATTGTTAAAAAATATATTTCATGTATAAATAGGTCTTTTATGGAATTCGTAAAATTATAATAGCTGTTGACCGCGACTACATCTGTGCAGAATTTAAACATAATCAGTATCCTGTGTTCTTCCAGACAATGTTCTATTTGTATGACAAATTTCATAGAGATCTGGTCAGCCGTTCTAGAGATAACTTCAAATATCCATCCATCCATCTAAACATTCGCATTTATAATATTTGGAAGAAGTAAGATTTTTTTTGAATAAATTTACAATTAATTAATTTAGATCACGACATAACGACATTCATGATATAACTGCCATTAAAATATTTATGTGAAAAAATTATTATTTTTAATATTTAAAACTTCATTTCTTTGATATTGCGCAAGTATTCTGTTGATAGTGTAACTTGAACCCTCGTCCAACGTAGCCCTCGTCAGACCTGAACCAAACCACTATAGGTCCGGCACTGATATCTAAAAAATACAACTTAGTATCAAAAATTACATATAACATCGTATATTTTTTTTAAACAGTCGGTCATATACCTGTGACTGGGGCATCTAAATAAAAATCTTGTACAATTGAACCATCGTTTAGGCGTTCCCCACAGAGCCTCACAGCGGATATTAGCAACCAGTCGCTTGGACAGTTAAATATCTCAACACCGGCTTGACGAGGTGGAATTAACGGCAGACCATCTATATAGAAAAAATGAAATTAAAAAAATCTTGGAAAGACATTAATTTTTTAAGGTTCCGTACCTCGTAAGGAAAAAAAACGGAACCTTTTTAGGATCACTTAGTTGTCCGTCCGTCTGTCTGTCAAGACCCTTTTTCTCAGGAACGCGTAAAGGTATCCAGTTGGAATTTATATCAAATACTCAAATCTGCTGTCCCTTGGTACTGTCAAAAAAATAAACTTCTAAACCAACGCAATCAAAAGATACAGCCGTTTACTTTGTGTACTTCCCGTGAACTTAGAATCTTGAAATTTGGCACGAAGCAACGCCGTATAGCACAGATAAAGGAAAAATTGCAAAAATCGTTTTGTTAATAAGTTCCCTAAACGGTTTGGACCCAAACTTTATGGTTAGTTATTATGATAAGTATATATAATACTGTATATTGTTTCAACTCTTATCATAATTACTTTGAAAATATTTCTGTGTATTTAAACATTAAGCTTTACTCACCGTTGTCATAATTAACTATTTGCATAGGATCTTCATTCGTATACGTGACGCTACACGATGATTTCTCACGCTTGATGCAAATCGCGTAATTTAAATTGTTCTAAAAGTAAATAAGTATACTGGTTATTTTATATTCTTCATGTGATTACCTCAATTTTTTGGTCCTTTTTTTTCATTTAGTAAAAGCAAATAAATGAAGAACTCACGAAATAAGTGGGGTTAAATATGTTTGCGACATCTGTAATGTTCCTGTAATTGAACGATTCTATGTAGCCGTACGGTTTATTAAAATATTGTAGGCATCCTGTTGGCGCGGCTAAGATGTCTGAGTTCTTTAGTTGTGTTACCTTGAACAACAAATATTTCTTTTAATTAAAATTTAAATAAAATTCTCTTGTCACAATGATACATACTATTTCAAAACGGTTTAACCGATTTTTATAAAATATTATATGCATATTAAGTAGCTACTATTTATTAATCGAAGACGGACGGAGTCGCGGGCGACAGCTAGTACGCTATATACATCGTAAAATCGTATACGGTGCCGTCGCAGACATGTCAAATTGGCAATCCCTTCAAAATTATATGGAAAACAAACAATACTCAGTACGCACCTTTATTGCAAACAATCGACTTTCTGCTGCAACTGTTTGAATTGTCAAACGTATAGGTCCTAGTGCGTCACCAACTTCTATGTATACTGAAACGTAATCACAATCCCTTTAGCAATACAGGGCATGCAGAAAATAATTTTGTCTAAGAGATTGTTGGTTTAAATTCATTCAGATTAGTTTTAATTGGATTCGAACCTCAGATGTCAGAAACTTAGATGTTATGTTTCGTTGTCTGTACTCGTATGTACTCGGAGTTCATTACATAATTAGAAACGACAGTAACAGCCCAATAAAAATAAAACTTTTTACAATGTGTAAAATATTTTCGTTGTAGAGCTCTGAAGTAACTAAGTATCATGTTAAGCACTTAACATTTGTAAACATAATTAATGCACATCTCGTTATTGTTTGTACAGTTTCAATTTACGGAAGTAAGCATTCAGGAAAAACATACATGTATTGTTATCTCAATGTTTTTATAAAGAACGAAAGAGATGACAATATGAATAGGTTTTGTGTTAGCTTTTGTCACGTTTTAACGCAATTAAATTCCGACCGGCCAGTGATTTTTGGTGGTTTTGACATAATTAATATCACATGTTTGTCACAGTATATTAAAAAATTATATTGGTACTTATAATGGGATATACTGAATAATTTAATTGAAATTAAATGTATTACTGTGTTGGCCAGTATTAATTCCGCAGAGAATTGGTATTACTTGGTTGGCATTCTGTCCCGAAATCACAAACTGGTCCTGGACGCACGTTCCTGAAGAAGGGAGCATGAGCTGTGGGATAAAAAAATTATTAAATTGAGTAATTCCCAAATTTCTCTTAATTTTTCTTATGATTACAAATCTATGACTGAAGCGTTTTAATGTAATTTTGGTATTTGGAAAATTCGAAACACGAAAGTTTTGCCTTGCAATGAAAAGATCATTAAAATTTTTCCTTATTATTATAAATTAATTATTTATTAAAGTTATTTCCAAAATTAAACGGTCAATTAATTTTATAGTTTGATTTCTTATAAGTTGCTAACTGCCATGTTCTAATTGAAAAGGTAAATATTATCGTGTATGAAATACCTCGAATTTGGCGAAATCTAAACGTATTTGTTTTATATCACTTGAGGTCTTATTTAGTATGAGAGCGCAAGCCAGACGATCGATACTCGGGGAAGGAAAGTCTGGATTTATAAGCCAACTCACGTCCGCAGATGTTTGGCCATGACACGAGAAGACAACTGAAAACCAAAAAGTCTTTAGTACCCATATTTCCACCGGGATTTACAACTTTGAACGTCATAGCCTAATATGTTGTTTTAGGCGATGTCATGTTTAACGATCACTTCTGTATTTACGAATAAGATGTAATATTAGTTTAGAATATTCTTTGTAAACCTGAATAGACTAATAGCTACTTAACAAAGAAGTAACATAGGCTATTGTCCTAAAAACTTAGCTGTACTTACTCACGCAACATGTTCCGTAACCATCAGCGCAAACACCCATTGAGGAACCCCCAGAACTTTGACATTCGTACTCATGAAGACACCTTCCTTCCAAACCACTAGTAGACGTACAAACTACATGTTCAAATTGAACAACTTCAAATACTTCCAGAAACCTACGTTTAACCTTTATATCGTCACTAAATTTCCTAACACGTTCATATGTTGGACGTTTTCTTGTAATATTTCGTTTAAGTGCACCAATATTTGCCAATTTCTTGTATTCTCGAATATTTTCATTATATAAGTAATGGTTTCCGTTAGATGTATCAGAGTTAGGTATCTCTTGAACCGATTGATTTGTAGGCAAATCGTACCATAATTTAAATTGACTTGGTGCCTTCAATTCTTTCGTTGCTGTTAAGATTGACACAGATTTATTTTTTGGCTGCCAGTTATTTTTAGTATAATTTCTTACTGTTTTTAAATCGTAACTTGTTCCTTGATCCAGTGGTTTGTATTTTGTTTTCTGTGTTATACTCGCTGCGTACCACTGATCTCCATTAATAAGATTACTTATTAAAAATAAAGCAATTATTCCCTTAAAGTACATTTTTATGATACTGATACGTGCACTGACTTAGCTTTACTGGACAGTTTGCTTTACTATTGTGGACAGGTTTATGAGGACAATGTATTCGATGTAATTAAATGACTAGAAACCGTTAAGCCTTATTCTTTTGCTCTACTTGCTCATCAGATTTCTACCTATTATTACAAACGATTATGTGTTCACTATATTTAATGTTTTTATTCATTCAATGCCTTGATAATTATCAAGCATTCTGACAGACAAATAAGCAGTTATTCTTTGGGATAAAACAAGCGAGCGGCCATCTGGAATCGCTAAAATAGCAAAGTGACCGTTGCCCGTAGACATACGTAATTGCATACGCGTTGCCTGCCTATCTTTAATCGATGGAGGAGAGGATGCGCAGAAAGAAAATATTTTCCCTTTCCATGCATTCTCTCATCCGGAAAGTTCACTTCCACTTCCCATCCTTTCCTTATAAGAAAAAGGGTGGGAAGGGAAAGAGGACTAAATTAGGCCTCCGAAACGCCTAGTTTTTTAAAAATGAAACTATTGAATTTAAATCGCTAAATGTTTTATAACAATCCGTGTACTTGATTCTTATCTTGACAAATAATATGTCTTAGAATTTAAAATGATTTATAATAGTTTAGTTGACGTGTTTAGGTCATAGAATGTGTTCTCGCTGGACGGCCCCACCTAAATTGAATATAATCGCATTATGCGACCTTAATAGCATACAAGATATTTATAATTTCTGTACTATCCGTAATATACTGTAAATTTAAATTATTAATAATTAATTTGCGGACCGATGTCTTAAAGACCACATCTACATTATATTTTAATTCAACAGGAACTAGAGATCTTTGTAGTCAGCACTACCCATAAATGTTTAACAATATTCATAGATGCATTGTCGGTTTCAGCTTCCAGCAGCCTGGGTGTGACTGCTACTTTCCTCCCTTTACTTACTATGTCTTTGATGGGGGGTTAATAGGGTTACGTCGGACTATGTAATTCACAGTATGCCTTATTACAACGCCTAACTATGCGCTATTTTATTAACCCAAACTTAAGTCAGATTAAATTAATATTAATCTGTCCTAGTAGGTATAAAATAATAATTCAATTCTTGTTAATACGTGAAATCCTTGATCACACCTGCAACAGTTATGCGAATACCTAACGCGATAGGGTACAATACATTCTGTAACACGCTACCGTCACATGCATGACCCTAAAGTAACATAGTGATACATATGTTGGTATACCCAGTTGCCTATAAAAGCTTTACTGTTTCTAATTGGAGACATATCGCTCACGGACTTTCAAGCGTAACTAAATATGATGATTAAGGTAAGCAAAATGCACTATAAATTTCTCTGCCTAAGTTGCATCCCACAAAGTAGGACAAACATAATGTATTATAAACATTAATATTTTTTAATCAGTTTAATTTAAATAAATATGCTGTAGAATTCAAAATGTTCCGACTTTAGTTATTTAAAATCTATCGCTTTGAGCTTCATAATGGTCGAAGAAATCTCAAGTCTCATCGAATTTTTATACTGAAGTCTCTTGTACTTTGTCTCTTCATTTTAAGATGAATATATTCTTAACGGCTATTTCAAAGTGCTATGAAATAGTAGTCAATTAGTGACTGTTCCTTTTAGATTTGATATTGCATATGGATGTTTAAAAACTTATAACTTGTGACTGGAATGATAACATAAAATGTTGTACTTTTTGCATTTAATTGTGTACTTTTCTTGCCTATTTTATCTGGTGTATATGTACAATAAATGTGTTACTATTTCTCAATTAAATACGGTTTTCATATTACCTTTAACTTCAGAAGCAAATTCGTCACGCCTTGGCAATAAATATCGAATAAAATGATAAATCATGCACACGTAAAGATAAAAAACATTTATGTTTCTTGGCCATTTAATTTGAAAAGAAAAATTTCAAGTTCGATTTAAGATAGAAATAAAAATACTTAAATTAAATAAAAAAATTAAAGACTTTACCCACAGAGGCTTTTCTGTTAACTATTTCAGCATTATTTCTTCTTATACTTTCATACTTTACAGTATACAAAATGTTATACACATTAGATCGACCTATTGTTAATACACTATTCTAATATAACTTGCTTTTTTATTTGTAGTTATTGATTGTGGTGTGCGCCGTCGCTGCGGCCAATGCAGGAGGGTTGCTTTCCCCTGTAGGGGTATACGGTGGTCACTACGGAGCCATCAATGCGTGGAATCCTTACAGCTCATACCCCGCCCAGCCGGCAATTGCGTCACAACATTCTAATATATACAGGTCACCCTTAAACCTGGGCCAGGTATGAATTACATTTAAATATAACAAATAAGTACAATTCATTAAGCGACTAGAATCAGAAAACAGTATATCTTATTATAATTTAACTCACAGGAAGAGATTAGTATATGTCATTTGTTTTGTAAAAAAAAACTTCTACTCCTGTAGCTTCGAATTCGGCGACTATATTTTAAGTAGTCAAAGTCGTCGTCTTTTCTTGAGTGTCATTGGGACTTTATACATACAGGATTTTTTTGGTTTCTAAATGAAGCATTGACTAATTACATATTATATAAGGTTAACGCATCTCATTTAGCGTTGGCGGCACAGACTAATTTCAGTGTGAGCGAGTTCTAGGCGATTGTTTGTTAGGTGTTCTTCCCGGTGGCCACATACTGCGAGTCAGGGCGAGTAGCCATTAATTATTACATTTCAGGTATCAACGTTCTCGAAAGCAGTTGACACTCCATTCTCAAGTGTTCGCAAGTCAGATGTAAGAATAAGCAATCCTGGAGTAGCAATTGCGCCGGCTTACCAGGGCATCGCGGCACCTCTCGTGACACACTACGGCGTCGCAGCACCTTTGGCTGCTCCTGTAGCTAAAGTTAGTAATTTGTTATAACAGCTTTGTTACTGTATTATTGTATAAATTTTGTATAAATTGGTACCTTTTACTATCGACTAGCAAAGTCGATATTAAAAGGTACCAATAAGCTCCTAATTTTCTCAAAGTCAGTTCCCTAAGCAAGAACATTTGTCAAATATTGTAATTTTTAGGGCTTTGGCATAACACGGCAGATCATTTCGATTAAATCATCGTATTCTTTCAATTAATAATTACGTAGGCATAATAATTTTTAACAATAAAATTTGTTTAACACAGGTAGCTGGGGGACTTCTGGGTGTAGCTTACTCCGCGGCTCCAGCAGTTTCCCACATGAGTTACACAAATGGCCTTGGCCTTGCCTACTCCTGGTAAAAAGTACATTAAATACTATGTAAATTTAATGGATATTGTAATCGTAAGACCTTAATGATTCCTCTTTATTTATTACCTAATAGTTGTTAGCATTTATAGTTAAAAATATTGTTTTCTCTAATATAAAGATTTGTTTAATAATTTCGAAGTTTTATTTCTTCATTATTACCGCTATGGAATAGCGTGGATTTATTCTATTAAGTTTGCCGAATTCCAAGATGTAAAGAACTTAAATCCATTCTGTTCCAATTTAAATTAAAACTTCTTATTCTGTATACAGAAAGTTATCAGTTTCATTATATGATTCTTTACTTTTAAGACATGAACTAATATCGGACCGATAAGAAGTTAGAGTTACAAGTTATACACATGTTATACTAGTGCGGCAAATTGACACGGTGTGAGTGGCGCAGCTATCGCGGTTTGGTTAAGTCTTAGGTCTATCAGAAAATCGGTACATCCATAGTTTTAAAAAAAAATTTACATTTTATAATTTTGACCGTGTTTACGTGAAAAATAAAGATTTGAAATCCTTTGGTTGAATGTATAAGCCTGTTTTAGTAGACTTATTTTGGCTGCCTGTACAAAGTTTTTTACCTTACAGTGAAATTAAAATATCCAATTGTGACAGGTTTTATTGCCAAATGTCAGTGTCATTGAATTTTCAATTGTCAATGAGTCGGTGTGTCGGTGATGTTTCTCTCTTTTTATAAACCTGATTTCGTATTTTTGTCCTTGTCTTATTGTAACTATATATTTTGTAAATTTTAACAAAATCATTCATCCATGAGAATTACCTGAAACTAATTTGTCTGTGATGAAAAACCTTAAATTTTTTGTTAAATCGTGTCAATAAGATAGAAGAATTAATTGTCGACGCTGGGTCTATTCATATGTTTAATCGGGATTCGAGTTGTTTACTTTAAGATATCAAATTGAGTATATAGTGTGTATTTTCCTGTGATTTCTGAAGCAGTAGTTAGTTTTATTACAATGTCTGACAGTGGCGATAGTGATATTACTTGGATATTTTACAAGGATCGCCCAGAATGGAGCGATGTTACGCCAGTCCCAGAAAACGATGGTTCCAAACCTGTGGTTGTAATAGCACATTCTGAGAAATGTAAGTTTATTAGTTGATTGCATTTGTTCATCTTTGTAGCTTAAAATCAGGTCATTGTAAACAAATTAAATAACAAAGAGGAAACGGATAAATTTTAACCACTGGTAAAAAAAAGTTTCTTGTGGTAGTGTTTTTTAGATTCATAAATATTTTAAAATTCATGTTTATTATCTGTTTAATTCCAGTTGAAGATGTGTATGACTATTTCCGAGCCATTTTGCAAACAAATGAAAAGTCTGAACGCGCTCTACATTTGACTAAAGATGCTGTAGAATTAAACCCAGCAAATTATACCGTCTGGCAATACAGGTACATTTACCAAATTTAAAGTTTTGCTTATATAGTTTTTTCAATTTTGCTTTTCTACTAAATATTATAATGAAGTATATTTTTTACACTATAATTTTTACATTACAGAAGGGATTTGCTCCAAGCATTAGGTACTGATCTAAGATCTGAACTAGATTATGTTGAAGCTGTTATAAAACAATCACCTAAAAATTATCAAGTAAGTATACAGCTACATTTTTTTTGTTTACCTAAGTCTTTTTTTTAGATATTTGTCCTTGTTTATATGTGCTACTAACCTAAAATAACCTTAAAGCAATAATCCAGTTATGTATTTTATTTTGGTTCATAATATTAATTTCAATTGTATTTTTCAGGTATGGCATCACCGGAGAGTATTGGTAGAATGGCTACAAGATTCCAATTTGGAGTTGGAATTAACTCATGATGCATTATTACAAGATCCTAAAAATTATCATGCATGGCAACACCGACAATGGGCAATTAAGACTTTTGGGTATGTTTCATTTTAAATATATTTATATTATACCAGCTGTCGCTTGCAACTCCGCCAGCGGGAAATTAAAAAGATACTTAATGAGCCTATGTGTTTATCCATACTAAGTTCTACATCTATGCTAAATATCAGCAACATCAATGCAACCATCCCAGAGATACCATCTTACAAACATCCATACAACCAAATATTCTCATTTATAATATTAGTAAGATTACATCTTGTCTAGTTTTGCATTACACCAAAATATTATGTTCTCAAACATTACAGGTTATTTGAGAAAGAAATGGAGTTTGTTGACAACCTTATTACTGATGACGTCCGCAACAATTCAGCATGGAATCAACGCTATTTTGTTATGAACAACCACCTTGGCTGGTCAGATATGAATGTGCAGAAAGAAATTTGTTATACATTAGAAAAGCTTAAGTTCGTGAAAAACAATGAAAGTGCATGGAATTACTTACGAGGTGTTTTACTGCACGATTCAAAAGGATTAAGTGGTAATACTGAAGTAACATCATTTTGTGAAGAATTGTACTCAAACAAGTGTCGCTCACCATACTTAATGGCATTTTTGATAGATATATGTGACGAAGCAATTAAAAAAGGAGAAATAAACTCATCATATAATGCTGAAAAGGCATTAGATCTTTGTCACGCATTAGCAACTAAGTACGACAAAATCAGATGCAAATATTGGAATTTTATAGCAGAAAAGTTTCAGAAATATCAATCTAATCAAGATTAAATTGTATCAAATGAATATTGGGGGATATGTTATTTATGATTTGTAAAATTGTTTTTTCTTTGTCATAATAAATAATTTCAAATTAATTTATTCTTTAAAATGCTTAGTTGTATATTATAAATAAAACTTTTTATTTGCTAATAAATAAATTTTTCTACTTTACCAATTTTGTTACAAACGGCAAATATTTGTTCTTATGCAATTATTTAGTTTTCTTCCATGACATTGTCTTCAGTTGCTGTGTTACATTCTTCTTGATGAATCAATGTTCCTATATTCATGTGAATATTAGAGCGTAGGGCTTTTGCAAATATTCCACATGAACAGATATTATCATCTGTCATCATGTCTAACATAGCTGCATGATCCAGGTAACTTGCGCAATTGCATTTGTTGGTAGTGCTCATTTTACTGGCTTTTGTACCAATACTGGTTTTAGATGCTTTTGGTGTAAGATTTGATCTTTTTTGAGATATTAGTTTTGTTGAGCCAGGACAATATTTACTTGCACAATTCTTACAATGATCCAGTGGCTGAAAATAAATTTTAGTATTTAGAAAAATATCACGCTATAATAATAGGCTCGATTAAGCCACGTATCAATATCAACCATATGGGCGCAGAAATTCAATGTGTGCAGTCAACCAATACGCACGGAACCGGCGTGGTTGACTATGACCTAATCATAGCTTAGGTAAGCTCTGAGCCCCGAGGTGGTGGAGACAAATAAATGCCGGGGATTGGGAAGCTGAAAGGAGTTATCAGTTACCTTGGGTTTCGGCTTTGGTGTACTTGTTTTCTTGTTTTCTTTGCATTTTTTCATTTTAATAAATCAACGTGCTATGATGATATGTATAAAAATTTTCATGGAAAGGGAATTGCATGCTGTATTTAATAAACATTATTTTTTATTGCACATATCCATGATTGTTGCGACTTTTATTTTGAAAATGTCGTTATATTTATGGTATTCTTTTTGCCTTTTTTGTGCACAATTAAAACCATAAATATCGCGATTTATATGTCACTGTCATTTCTTGTTTTGCATTAAGTAGTAAAAATTAAAATAGAGCTAATAAATATGTAGTAAAATTTAAAGGTATCAAGTGCATCGTCATGCATTATTAGAGTGCGGTTTGTAAAAATGCGGTATCACTAAACCGGTCGATGGCAAAAGATATGCACCAAGACAAGGTCCCAGAACCGATAGAGGTTCGTTTGTTGAAGCAAAAATTAGCATGTTTTGCGTGCAAATGCTTAAACTGTGAGAAGTACAGCAAATATAATAGATTAAATAAAGCAAAAAATGGTGAAAGTACCGGTATTCAAGTGGATAATATTATTTCCGACCGGTTTAGTAAAGCACAAGACCGCATTGACGATAAATCAAAAAAAATTGATAAGGCTTCCGGTAGCAGTTTTATAAGTACGTTGTGTAATCATTATATTTGCCCTAGCTGTCAATACATCGTAGAATTCTTGCGGGAAAATTTGAAAAAAGTCTTCAAAGATGCGGAGTCGGAAACAAAACCATTGGACCGTTGTGACAAATCAACAGAAAAAATCGTCCATCTCTTAGATAAAACTACATCAACGATAAAGTGTGACTCATCTTGTCTTATGAAAAAAAAGTCTTCTGCTGAATTTACCAAAGCAGAAAATAAAGAACGAAAGAGCGAAAAAGTTGTATTTGAAGATTCCATAAAGGATAATGTCTCTGATTTAGAAAGTAAAAAGAAAGTTACCATAGAGAAAGATAAAAAAGAGAACATGATTATGGAAAATGATAAAACATTTAAAATTGAAAAACAGACTTCATCAGATGCGGAAAAAACGATGCATTTAGATTCAAAACACCATACCGATGTTCCAAAGCAGTATATGTGTGGGAACTGTGTTTGCGTGGAAAAATTTATTAAGGCTATAAGGCCGTACGCTTAAATTGAACAATACAAGTTTTAATTTATATTATGTTTGAGCAGATGCGTACACATTAAACATAAATTACTTATGTTTCCAAATTTTCGAGGAAACTCGTAAATAAATTGTTGAAGAATTAAGATGATGAAATGAATGTAAATCATGTCAACAAATAATGTCATGGTCACATTTTTGTAGACAATAAAGGCCATACTAAATAAACATGTTTTTGTTTTGAATCATGAATCCATCGACATACGATTAGGTGGTAGAGACCAATAATGTATGACAAGGGCATCAAAGTAAGAAATAATCCAATTCGATACTTAAAATAAATTTATTGCACTTTGTTTATGTAGCAGCGTAATGTTTAATAAACCTTGCCGACGGATCCGAAACTTGCACCCATTTGGGCATCCAGTAGTAGGGTGTAAAGTTGTGTTGACCTGAAAACGATTTCTCGAATACATAACGATAGTACTTGGATTCAGTGCTCGTCGGTTGAAGACCCTTAAATTGTTGATCGTCTTCGGGTAGTCTCTCCGCAATAATTTCAGATATTGTAGTAAATAAAGACTTCTTTACAGATGCTACACCATCGCTAAAAGCTTCTTTGTGTCGCCATAAAATAGAGTCAGGCAATAGACCACTTTTGGCGAAACTGCTGCGTAAAAGATGCTTCTCTACTCCATTCTGTGGTTGTCGTAGTTTCGGTTCGATGTTGAGGTAATGGTGCGTGAACTGAATGTCTAAGAATGGTACCCGAAGTTCTAAACTAAACGCGCTAGTCGTTCTGTCTGCCCTTAGGCCATCGTATAAGTAGATATCGGACAATAAGCGAATGCTTTCCTCGTGAGCGGCCGTTATCGTTGGCGCGTCTCTGAAGTAAATATATCCCTGAGCCACCTCGTCCGCACCTTCGCCACTGAACACTACCGTCGTATCCGTGTTCTCCTTGATGTACTTAGACAATAAGTACATAGGCAGGCTTGCACGTATTGTTGTGATATCAAAGGTTTCCAAATGATAGATAACGTTATCTAGTGACTGTCTTACATCGTTCTCATCAAACCTAACCTCATGATGTTCCGTACCGAGGTAGTCTGCTACCGTGCGCGCTGCGGCTAGGTCGGGAGAATCACCCATACCGATCGCAAATGTTTGTATTTTGTACGGCAGTTTATGCTCCTTAGCAAGTTTTACAACTAAGGCTGTAATTAACGAAGAATCTAATCCACCGCTAAGCAAACATCCGATTCTTCTATCCGACATAAGCCTTTTCTTACAAGCGGCTTCCAACAAAAATGCGGTCTTTTCATATAGACTGTTCAATTTTGCTAGTTCTTCTGTTGAGACATAAGGTACAAAACGAGGTGGTGTTCCGGGAGTAAAATATCTTTCGGTGTAGTCCAGATTAATTTTGCCATCGTCTAATAAATTCCAAACCTCGAAATGTCCGGGCGGAAACTGACCAAGACTTGAACTTTCACTGGCTTTCTGTTTCAAACCCATTAACCCTTTGGCTTCCGAACATATTGCCATCAATCCCTTTTTTTCATCATGTAATTTGAAAAGTGGTCGAACACCGTAAGGATCTCGTGCTATATAAACCTTACGCGCTTCACCGTCGATCAAACAAAAGGAGAATACACCGTCTAATTTTGTAACAGTGTCGGCTATTCCGAACTTTTTGTACGTATGAATAATAGCTTCGACGTCGCAGTTGGTTTCATAAGGAAAATTATATTGTTCACGGAGTCGTTTACAGTTGTAGATTTCGCCGTTGCAGATCAAAGTGAGGCGAGGAAAACAATGCAGTTTCATCGGCTGCATACCATGTAAACCGTCTACTATGGCAAGGCGTTGAAAACCAAGAACCACTTGTGGCTCGCGGGAATCCTGCTCAAGGCGCCAAGCGTCCGGCCCTCGATGTACGATGGCAGCAAAACATTTTATGCATGTTGGAGTTAAGCCGCCGTCCATGCCAAAAGTTCCCCATATGCCGCACATATTGAATGTCTCTGAAAGTGTTAATTGAATCGATTGAAGTCGGAGTAATTCTGTTATATAGTACTGTAGTATAGTGTGTTTCAGGGACAGTTGCACGAGTGTTGACTTTAAACATAAAACTGTAACGTATTAGATTTGATTCGTAAAATATGAGCAATGTGTAATCACCTACGGAGTCCACTACTTATTTGATGATAAAGTTACGCGTCGGTGCTACCATTCTTTGTAAAATAAATATAAAGTGGCAAAGTTTTTAGTACTACTATTAAAAGAGATTATGTGTATACAAAGTTAAAAATTAAAATACCGTGTGGCTATCAATAACGCAAGGCTACCGTGTCTAAAATCGTATACTTTTACGCTGAATACCAGCTGCACAATCGCGCTATTTTCATAGAAATTCAACGTAAAGAATTGTCATCAAATACGAATTAAAGAAACAGTGGAATGATCGATATGGTCTTACTTAATTATTTATTACTCTGTTATAATATTAAATATAAATTTAATTTATCAAATAAATAGATTTTAAAACACATTTTTCTTTAATTTTACGTGAAATGTTTCCAAATTCGCGGTTACTTACCACTTAGGTGATATCTCTGTAATGATTTTTAGGCTATTTTATTTATTTAATTAGAAATATATACTGATTTTAAACGTACACACTGACATTAAATCTTTAAATGTTTACGATATAATGAAAGGAAACCGGCAGAGCTTGTGCTGTGCGGTTAATTGTTTTACTTCCAGCTCGTGTTCGTCTTCACAGATAACGTAAGAGGCATCCAATGTCAAGAGAGAAAAGCACAGTCATATAAAAGTTGCCATGTGTTTGAGCGAGACAAAAGAGCATGCATGATATTCCGTTTCATTTAAAATTAAAATCAAGTATGTTGCTCGAAAACCTCTTGAAATTTAATAAACTTACATTTTTATTGTTAATTAACCATAAATTGTCTAATTTAAATTATTTATTGTGAACAACAAATACTTCTCACAAATAGAGTCTAACGTTTTAAGTCTATGATTTTATTTCAAATATATTTAGCGTGCATGAAGAGAAACGTTAGTAATTGTGGCGGGATGTATGGTTTGGCTTGTAGAAGGAATGCTTGTGTTGACCGGTTGTGAGTCAATTGATACCATTTATTGCATCATCGTTGGCTCAATAGTTCTGTATAGTTAAACGCATTTCATATTTCGCTGACGTTTGAGCCATAACGTCTGAAGTCTGAAACCATACGTATTTATTTGTTATAGGATTCGAATGATTCTAATATTTAAAAAAAAATAGAAAATCATTTTTAAAAACCGCTTACGGTAGGCAGTGATTACAAATTTCTATTTGGCGCGTTTTCTATTCTAATTATTATGTTATTACATTATTTGAATCAAAATAAGCTTTAAATCAGGATCTTTTATCTTAGTACAATTTTACACATAACAACGTAATTCAAAAGAATATTGTTCAATCTATATTTTAATTTGTATAAATGAATGGGAGATCAAGATCATGACATTCTGTTACTACCGAATTAATTTAAAATATTTCGCCATGAACTACATTGCGCAAATCAATCTTGACTATCAATATATCAAAGAGGCACACGCTTACGACAAATTGTTAAGGTTATTAATTTGTTCTTTTACATTTAAAAGTATAATAGTTCGACTTAGTGATTTGATTTTAATTTTATACTTATTTGATTTGATATATGGCAAAATACAATTATGAAGATGTTTCATGTATCCAAATATCAATTCTAGGTACCTGGGATTTTTTTATTTTTTATTTACTTTCGTAAACAACAGAAGCACCTAAAATTAACAAATAGCAATTTAATGTTTGCATTTATTTGCTCTACGTCACAAGTTACAAAAATATCCCTTTAAAATTAAATGTCATCAAAAATATCTCACTAGATGGACTTAGAAAATAATTTCATTACCTTCAGCTAAACTAGTCGAAAGATATTTTTTTAATCTAAAAAGATGCTTTTCTGAATTTGTTCACCCTGCCTATGCGTACTAAAAACATACCCGCATTAAAATTAAAAACGGCCAGCATTTTAATTGTCAAGGAATAATCAATCCAGCCAGTAGCAAAAATATAGTTTGGATCGATTTCCAAAATCATTTTTAACTATAATTTAATTAATTCACTTGATCATTTCCTCAATATCATTGGAAATATAATTTATATTAAAATTAAATACATTTGGTATATAAAATAAAAATTACATGTTTTGTTAACGATTTAGTAGGTAAATAAAGTATTTAATTTAGTGAATCTATGTTATCTGTGCTGGATACGCTAGTGAAGAACGAAAAAACAAATGACACACAATTATTAAAATAAAATTAATTTTATAATCATCAGTGTTTACCCAACATTTTTAAGGAAGTGTATTTATAAAATTAGCAAAATGTCAACATCATCTCAACAAAATAATCAAATGAAGATTTGTGTTCTCAAGTCTAATTTGGAAGAAATAGGAAATGAGTTGATTATACAAGTAAGATATTGAAATATTTTTATCTCTTAATCAACTTACTTTCGCTTATATTTTAACGTGTCGTTTATTATTTTAGAATTCGACAATACCAGCGCTGGACGACGAAAATGAGTGTAAATATCGTGAAACTATGGGGGTTGTTCAAGTGTTACGTGCTATTACCACTGAGATTGAGATTCAAAATGAAGAAAGTTGTATGTATTACAAAAATGTTTGTCTATCTATATGTATCCTACTAATATTATAAATGTGAATGTTTGGATGGCTGAATGGATCGGTGTTTATCTGAAGGTATCTCCAGAATGGCTGAACGGATCTCTCTGAAATTAAGCATAGATGTAGAACATAGTCTGGAAGAACACATAGGCTACATAGACTATCATTAAGTTCCGCGCGGACGGAGTTGCGGGCGACGACTAGTATTATTAAGTTAGTATTAATTAGTAATTTCCCACATTAATAACATATTTTTCTGTCTGATTTATAGCGAAATTAACTGCGAAACGAAGACAACTTCAGCTAAACTGCGAAGAGATGACCAAGTCAATCAATAAAGAGCTCGAAATAAGGAACAAAAACGAAAATCAGTTGCAGCAAGTCGAGAACGAAATAGAGGAGAAAATGTAAGTACATATTAAAATATTTTGTTTGAATGTCTTTTTATGCCTCATGGGCAGGTAAAATGTGCGGCTTACAAACCACGTTTTCTTAATACTGATAAAATAATGACTTGGTTATTATAGATTCTTCTCACATAAAAAGATTTTTGAGAAATATTCGAAAAATATTATATAATAAAAGAAAACATAATCAAATAATCCATAATTTCTTGAAGCTTACATTGTTCTTATTTTGTTTTCGTATATTCTGTGCCAAGTTATAAATCATGTTTATATGCAATTCAATATTTATCATTACTTAGTCGTTCGTACGAAGCATTGTTACGTGAAAAGGCAGATCGTTTTCGGAAAATGCACAACGTTTATGTAAGTTATTGTACGTTTTTATCCCTTGTTTTAAAATTATCGCGTCTTGGCTGAACGTTTACTGTAACATGTTCCCTTAAAATAATTATTTAAAAAAGTTGTACTTGATTCTTAGACTTATCATCAGCTTACTGTACGTCCCCACCGAGGGGCTCGGAGCCTAACCTGAGTTAGGGGTGGTAAGGCCATAGTCAACCACGCTAGCCCAGTGCGGGCTGGTTGACTTCACACATATCTTTGAATTTCTCCTCAGATATGTGCAGGTTGTATCACGATGTTTTCCTTCACAGTAAGAACGTCGGATAAATGTATATATGTAAATCGGAAATCGAAAAACACATTGGTACATGGCGGGATTCGAACTCAGGACCTGCAGATTGCAAGTCAAGTGCTTAACCCCTGAGCCACCGACGTTCGTCTTAGACTCACTTATGTATGACTAAATTAGTTAAGTTAGCATCGGTAGTTTACGTTTACGTTGAAAGTATTCGTCCAAGTTGCAAGTTCTGTTATTTTATAATTATTTTTAGGATGAAATAGAAATGAAAAAACAGTTAGAAACGGTTAATGAGGATTTAATAAAAATTACTACAGAAGAAGGAAAGCAGCAGAATGTAGTTAAAGATTTAGAAAAAGAATTGGCGGCAATAGTACCCGACTTGCCTGATAATATTCTGTCTATATTGTGAGTTAAGTCATTGTCATAATAGGTTAAGTTCAGTTTAATAGTACAAAGATATGTTATTGGGTTAATCAATCAAAAACACGCAAACATATGTCATCAGAACAAGAGCGTTTTGCTAGCTGATGATTAAGAGGCTGGTAGTAATAGTTTTTTTTATTTCAAACAAAATGCTTATCAATATGTGGTCAAGTTTTTTAATGAATAATTGAGTAGTCGCATTTGAGTTATCTAATTAGGGCTTGTAGGGATTTTATTATATCGAAGCAACTTTTAATATTTTTCAAATCTCAAGGACACAACTTCCCACCTTGTACATCCTAGGTGATGCCTATGAGTGAGAGTGGTTTTCGAATGCCTTGGTTTCTTCCCCCGGACAAAACAAAGACAATATATTTTTTACGTCATGTTAATAGGCAAATGCCTATTAACATGACGTTGTTGTTACAACATTGTTGTTGTTGTAACATGCTCGTTTGTTTGCCACCTTATGACATTAAAAAAAATTTTAATATCATAAGGTGGCAAACAAACGAGCTGCCACCTGAAATCGCTGAAATAACGAAGTGACCGTTGCCCATACACATATACAATTGCATATGCGTTGCGTACCTTTAAACGACGGAGGAGAGGATGCACAGAAAAAAAAAAATTACCTTTCCATGCATCCTCACATCCGGAAATTCCACTTCCACTTCCCATCGTGTCGAATTAGGCATCCGGGACGCAATAATGATTAGCTTAAGATTTAAGAAATTATTTTGTTATGGGCATTGAATATATCTTAAGGGTCTGAAAATCCCTTATGTTGTCGGCGTCGTAAAACTTATGGTTTTACGATAGTCTTTTACCAACGACAAAAGTAAAGAAATAAAATAATATTGTGTAGTTTAATACCCTATATTTAACGACTTGGCATATTTCTTTTAATTTTAGGCGTAAAACAGAATTGGAAAATAAATTGAAAACACTGACTGATAAATGTAATGAAAAACGTGATACATTTGAACGACTTCAGAAGAAACAGAAATATGGCTTCGAATTTAATATATATTAAAAATAAATTCATTTTATAAAATCATAATTTGTAATAAGTCAAAAGTTTTGATTAAATTAACATCTACTTTGCGATTTTTTTGGAAGCATTTTCAAATGTTTACTATCACAAATTGAACAGTAAAAAAAACTTTCCAAATTGATCAAAGCCCGTACACTCTTTAATAACATTTTGTTCAAAGTTTAAAAGTTTTTATTTGATACTAATAATTACCTTGTTCGTTTTATATAAAGACTGCTGGATAAAATCATTCACGTTAATATTTTAAAAAGTTTAAAAACATTTGCGTCTGAAAATTTTTAAGGAAATAGGATATAACGATGAATTGATTTATGTAACTCGTAAGTCAATAACAACCTAAATATTGGTAAATAAATAAATAAATATATTCTTAGTACGTATGTACGTAAGTACGCCATTGTATTTGAAAGATAATTCAACTTTTTACTTTCAAATAGATTACTAAAGACAATTTGCAAACCGAACACGTTTATGACTGTTTAATATAAAAGAAAACTATAATAGATATCTTTAAATATAACTTACTTTCAGTACATTTAAATTCTAACGATAATTTTATTCTATTAAGACCGTCTTTACTCTCCTATAACTTAAATCTAAAACATTTTGGTCTAACAAGTTAACCCGAGGTCATATAAATAAAAGGACTTTGAAAAAATCGATTGCAATGCTTTTACCCTCTAATACCTATATAAAGAATAAAGGAACTTTTACTGCTGTTCTTATAGTTGTTAAGTAATCACTAAGGGCGCAGCTAATGTAGATGTATAAAAGAAACAAACGTTTTTTAAATTAGTAAAATATTATGAAAGGAAAGAGAAAGGTGTATTTAGTTACTTTTATCTCTGTCTAACATACTTTTATCTTTCTTCTCACTAATATTATAATATTATAATATAATATAATTATGTATGGTATGAATGTATGGTATTTAACAGTGGTAGAGCTTTAACATCTTCGCACGAATTTACCGGTTCGCTAGGTGAAATACCACGACCACACAGAAGACAGGCGTCGAGTGGAAGCAATTCCGCGTTTCGTCTGATGAGTGTGCAATGGCAACGGTCGTTTCCCTATTTCAGCGATTTCTGCTGGCCGCTCACTCGTTTGCCACCTTATGATATAAAAAAAATGGGCATATGTGGCGAATCTCTATTTCCCACTTTAGGGCTATTTTTAATTGAGCCAAGTTTAGCGAATATACCTGACTTTGGCATCTTAGTTTATGGCGTATGCGAGCGACATCATAAATTATCTTCGAAAAAGAAATAGAAAAGCGTCAAAAGGCTATTTTATGAAGAATCGAAGCGTTTATTTTTGCTATTAAAAATTTATTAAATTGAATACTTCGGTGAAAATGAAATTGAGGCAACGTCCTAACTTTAAATTTATTTCAATCTATTTATACATTTTAATGTTTGACAGTCGAAGGAGAATGTTTGTGTTTGCTGCGTCCATTTTGCAATGCTTGTTGCACCGCACTGACGGCCGCCGCGCCTTGAAAGAATGTACTCTGAAATAACAAGATAATTTCATTTGAATAAAAGCAAGTACTGTAGTGCGTAATTGTGTATTAAAATAATGAAAATTTTAAACTGGTTCAAAGTAAATAAGTAACTCAAGTTGGTGAATAATTGAATAGCCTTCTTTGTTTTTGTTAAAATTTTTCTTGTTAACTTACTTTTTACTTTAGATGAATTATTAATATCGGTTCTGTAGTTTAACAATTTACTTCTAACAAAAACATATTGCCCTTTTATAAAACTATGAAAAGAATATAGAAAAAATATTTTATAAAACAGTTTAACCGAACCATGACATGTTAACAAGGTACTTGCAAACTTTCATTTACGTAAAGTTCTTCCATCATCAGTTAAAGAAATTTCAAAAGTTTTCTTGTAACTAATTTTATTCAAACATACCAAACCATCTCTTATCTTATGTGACCAGGGTTTACGAGTAGTTGTTGTTAAGGTATTAGTTTTATCCGGCGTTATATCACAGAATACTAAAGACATTTGGGAACAAATCGCAACAATGACAAGTAACAAAGCAATCTTCATATTGTCACGACTTCTTATAAGTGAAATCACGAACCTCATTAAACGAGCTTTTATACGCGTAAGAAGGAAAAAATACACTACGTTGAATCGCGTAATGGGAATTCGCAACCATCTTATTCGTAGTAGCGTTTGTATTTACCCGGCACGTGTTGGAAATTTATAATAGATAAGTCATCTTTATGAATATAAAATATTCCATGCCTTACATAAATGTGGTAATTGTTTACTAATAAATTATTACTTGTTATGGCTACCATATGCTATTAGGTGCTTATATTATATACTAGCTGTCGCCCGCGGTGGTCAAGCACTTGACTTGCAATCTGCAGGTCCTGGGTTCAAATCCCGCCATTTACCAATGTGTTTTTCGATTTTCGATTAACATATGTACATTTATCCGAAGTTCTTACGGTGAAGAAAAACATCGTGATGCAACCTGCACATATCTGAGAAGTAATTCAAAGATATGTGTGAAGTCAACCAAACCGCACTTGGCCAGCGTGGTTGACTATGGCCTAATCACCCTTAACTTAGGGTAGGCTCCGAGCCCCTCGGTGGAGACGTATAGTGAGCTGATGATGATGATGATGATGATGTCGCCCGCGACTCCGTCCACACGGAATAAAAAAAAACATAATTAGTAGCCTTTGTGTTCTTCCAGACTATGTTCTATGCCAAATTTCATCGTTTTTCGTTCAGCTGTATGAGATACCTGCAAACAAACATACAGCTATACAAACATTCGCATATATATTAGTAAAAAGTAAGATTATTCGCCCATTATTCGAAACTCGAGCATAATTTATAATGATTTTTTTTCAACAAGAAAGTAGTGACTAATCGGATGATGGATAATAGAAAATGACGAGAAGAAAGAAACGTAAATTTAAGCCTTCCAACGTCATTCTCTAACACAATAAGCTATTATTTTAATAAAATATTAATTGCAAAAGCAAATATAAGGCTGCAGGCTTAGAAGCCACATATTAATTAATGAAAATGAAATTAATTTAAGCATTTATGTGACATAATAAAGTCTTGTTGAATTACGGTAACATTTTCACATTGTAAGACGAATTCAATGTTTAAATCTTTTTTATAGTAATATCTTTTATTTTTTGTTGGTTTTTAAAATCATTTTAGCCCGCTTTAACATCTTCGCACGAATTGGCCCGGCTCGCCCGGTGAAATACCACGACCACACAGAAGACAGGCGTGAAGTGGAAGCAATTCCGCGTTTCGTCTGATGAGTTTGCGTCCCGGAGGCCTAATTTAGGCCTCCTTCCCTTCCCATCCTTTTCTTTATAAGGAAAGGATGGGAAGTGGAAGTGGACTTTACGGATGAGAGGATGCATGGAAAGGGAAGATATTTTCTTTCTGTGCATCCTCTCCTCCGTCGATTAAAGGTAGGCAGCGCATATGCAATTGCGTCTGTCTATGGGCAGCAGTCACTTCGCTATTTCAGCGATTTCAGGTGGCTGCTCGCTCGTTTGCCACCTTATGATATAAAAAAAAAATTCGTCAATAGAAAGAGATAATTTTATCAGCGATTAAAATATCTGTTGATTCAAAGTAGAGCTTATTTAAAAAATATATATTAGGTTTATCATTATGCACATATTTTAACTGACTGTTGCCGTTAAAAAGAAAATTATGTACGCAAATGTCACGTAGGTACACGCAAGCGTTTTGCCTCTAATGGGGCCGGTGGAATTTTATTATCAGTACACAGCGCAGATTTACAGCCTTTAGCAGCATTTGATAAGAAAATGTGTTCAATAATTTTTGTAGGCATGTTGAGACTTATGTTGGAGTACATATGAAATTTATATTAGTATATTATAGAGAGGGTCGAACCTGGATGTTTATATTTCGGTCCGGTCCACTCATGGGTTTAACAACTGCGGCACCGAAGCTCAAGTTCTTTGACACTGATTAATACAATGATATTCAAATTCGGACATAGAGAAAGAAGTACGTTATTAATACATACCGCTCTTGTGTCAAAACAACCTTTGGGATGGGCTGGCTAAAAATAACTACCTAAATTTACCTAAATACATATTTGTTTTTCCTTGTTGACCAATTTTGTTTCTCTATCTGAATTATCTCACGACCTTATTTTTTAAGTATTGTATGAGACTGAAATAACACTACGATATCCTTTACATATAGGTTATAAAGTATACAGGTGAAAACGTAATAAAAATAAGCATAGAAAATAATGAGACCGTAATTTAATTACTTATTAATAGTATTATATATGCGAATGTTGAATGTATAGATGAATGTATGGATGTTTGTTAGGAGGTAAATCCTGAATAGCTGAATATATCTATTACCATAATATTATAAATGCGTAAGGTTGGATGAATAGATGTATATTTTTATAACATAGCTACTATGATCGGATCTAGATGAATTTTGGAAGAGATATAGTTGTCAGCCTGAAGCGCTTCCACGCGAACGGGATGGCGGCTAACATAAATAGAATTGTAAAAAAATTGTAAATTGACGTATCTTTTAGAATATTAAAAATCATCATCAGCTCACTATACGTCTCCACTGAGGGGCCTCGGAGCCTAACCTAAGTTAGGGGTGGCTAGGCCACAATCAACCACGCTGGCCCACTGCGGGTTAGTTGACTTCACATATATCATTGAATTTCTTATCAGATATGTGCAGGTTTCATTACGATGTTTACCTTCACCGTAAGAACGTCGGATAAATGTTCATATGTAAATCGGAAAACACATTGGTATATGGCGGGATTCAAACCCAGGACCTGCAGATTGCAAGTCAAGTGCTTGACCCCTGAGCCACCGACGCTCTTAAATTAAAATTCACATTGTCATAAATAATTCGAGTTTCATTGAAAATTGTTAATTAATAGTGTAGTACAATGGTAATAAGCTC